CCCCAAAACCCCAAAACCCCAAAACCCCAAAACCCCAAAACCCCTTCCCTTTGATTATTTATTGATAACTGATTAAATAAAACACTTGAACTTAGAGCACAGGATTGGTTGTCTTCCTTCTCCTTCTAAAATAATTACCTTGCGGCTTCTTAGCTGGAACATTTGTGTCAGTAGTAATAGATTCATTAGCTTTGAACTTCAACATAAAATTTGATTTTTTATTAGCATTTATAAATCTTGTCTTACTCCCTGATAGATAATTTCAAAGGTTACCTGAGTTTTTACTCAATTTTGACCTAAGATTTGGAAATAAGATCGGCTGTGGCTTCTTATGCACCATAGTCAAATTCTCTAAAGAAGGGACTAAGTAGGGATTAGCAAGGATCTTGTTCCTAGAAAGTCTTGTAATTCCTGCCTTAAATTCCGGTTTCTATTATTTACATGTAGAGAATACCTTTTTGATGTACTCTAACAGAGCACTTTTGTTGCTATTTTAGCTTTAGTACTTGTCCAAAGTTCTCCATTATTATAGTTTTGTTCCTTCTTCGAGCCTTTTCTATCTTAATATCTTCATTCACAAATCCAGTGTATTTTAGTTTCGGTAAGCTTTGCAGATCGTTTTTCCTTAAGGTTCTGTTTTGCTGAGATCTCTTAAATTTTGAAGTTGATATGCCAGATTTTAAGTTGAAATCAGGGATCCCATACTGCGACTGCTTGATTCCATCAAGAATAAATCTTGGCCTAAAAGATATGAGAGGTTATTTAATATTTGCTTACTTTGAATGACTCTTTGATCTTGTTCTCTTTATATCATTCTTTTTCTCTTTGATTGATCAATAGCCTTGATTTCTTCTTTATCCTTGCTAATATTTCCATAAATATCTTTTGGCGTTTGCTTTTGGTCTTTTAATGTTTTATTTTGGTCTTGAGATATTAATAAATATTTACCTAATTTTTCTATCTTTTCATGCTCCTTTTGTGGCTCCTTATGATTAAGGTCAATGTTTTGATCTAAAGTCTCGTTAATCCAATATATAATAAATTAGCTAAAAAGCTTACCTAAGTGTTTCTCGTTATGTATTGGATGATCCATTTTCAATATATTTTATAATGAAAGGGGTTTTGGGGTTTTGGGGTTTTGGGG